TAGTTGTACAGAGTCATATTTAGTTTGTTGCCATCCCATTTAGGGGCAATTATAAGGAATTGAGATGGCACCCTAATTCGCATGGTGGCATACATAAATGTTCCATTGATGACTGCCCTAAGAGGTATTAGATGGTTACCTTGTCCATGAGCCAATATCCTATAACCGGCATGTACTGTACTAAGTACATAACAGCAAGCACAGGCTGCAAGAATAACCAAAAATTAAAATTGCAATTCCAAACTAGTACATGCTATAGATGAGAATAGAAAAATAAAATTCATTCAACCACTTATATCATTGAAAAAGAAAGACGCAAGGGTGAGACTCCACATGTGATTGAAACCACTGTCGAACTTCATGTGTGGTTTATTTTTATGGAGTCTAGTTTGTATATGTGATCCGGATGATGATCCCGCCCCGAAATAATGTTGTGTGGTTTTTAATGGGAATTTTTCTGAGGCTTAGTCCATGGAGCGAAGGCTTGGGCCGATAGACCCAAGCCGTAGCGCTCATGGACAAGCCTCGTGGGGGTTCGGGGGCAACGCCCCCGAGGAAAATTTTTTTGGGCCCGTTATACAGCCCAGTGCATAGGACATATAAACCCTGTTGTTTTGGTGATTAGGGTTAATTGTGGATGGTACAGCCGCTCTCTGTATTCAACTCTCTCAATAGTGAAATCCCTGCAGCTTCGTGGACGTAGACAAATTGCCGAACCACGTAAAATCTGTGTCTTGTTCTTTCTTGTTTCTTATTGCTTTATATTCTTGATTTGTTCTTCGATTGTGTGTGTTTGTTAGTGGATTTAAATCGTGAGAAATCCCAACACTTCAACTGTTCATTACAGGGTGATCCATCAGCCTAATGCAATACCAGCCTAATTTATTACAAGATTCTCCAGCCTAATTCATTACAGGATCCATCAGCCTAATACATTACAGGATTCTCCCAAGAGCCTTCCCTTCTGTGTGTTTTGCAGGGACGTGACTAAATATCATAACCATCTCTTCTTTACATGCTCTTACAGTAATCGAATCTGGTTGTCCATTGAGAACAAGCACAATGTTCAATGACCTAGCTTAGATTGGCCCATCTTATCCAACGCTTTCTTGCCAATATAAGGGGTAAAGGCTTGTGGAAACTGATTGGCAAACTCATCTTGTTCCCCCTCAATCTATTCTATTTGGAAAGAAAATATGATATCATGATACTATTAGACTGACCAAATATGCTTTTTTGTAACTATACTAGTCATAACTCGTACCTAAAAACGCGATAAAACATAAGATTTGAGCCTTAAAAAAATTGATCCCACTGTACCAAATAACAATTATTCATTTCGTCGTTTCTTTCATTACATCATTTAAAATTAATTTTCACCTATTTTCTCATAATGTATAACTCGACAAAATATTGTCAACACGTTGCACTCCTATATTTTCTTTCATTACATCATGCACTCCTAATAATGCTCCCATTCACATGCTGCTCCTCCCTCCCCCAAGAGAAGAGTATAAATCAGGGCCTCCATCTATGCAGACCACTCATGTACAGTTTCAGAGTAACCACATACACTTGAACTCCTCCAGTCTGGTCTGCTTAATTCTGGCTTCCAAAGTAAACTACTATGGGGCGCCCCTTCTTATTCACTCCTTGCATATACATCTTCTGATGAGCAAGGTCAATAGAAATTTCTAATGGAGGTCATTAGGAATCTCAGGTGTGTCTTCATTGAGTTCTCGCTTCTTATGCATCTGAGTTAATGGTCAAACAATAGAGGTTGATGTTCGGATCTCTTTTAGATTTGATCAGAAACAATGTTAGATATCTAGTTTACACTGCTATTTATTGGCAAGGATTTGGCATAAAAGCACAGCAAGGTTGCAACATATACTGTTTTCAGGTTTATGATTTACAAGTCTTCTGTTTGTGGACAGGTGTGAGTTATGGTTAGGCAAGTTTGAGAGCCATTAGAAGAGGACTCCTTTAGGCCTATTCTTCATCACTACGATGGCCCTAAGTTTCAACTTGAGCCAAACATTTTAGAGGTAATTACTCAACATTTCCTTAACAAGTTTTTTGCTTAAAGCACTTTATAACACTTTATAATGCACAGTCTGCTAAAATATTGGTCTGGTTTTGGATTTGGCAGGCTCTCTCTATTGGATATATTTGCAGAAAATAATCCTTGAACAACATGCCAACATGCCATACAGGCAACACACCTAACATACAATACAGTGAAGAAAAAGAGGAGGATGAAAGTAGAAAAGGGTTAGAGAGTGGTTTGGCTACAACATGTTTTGTGAAGAGTTTGAAAGAAAAAGATGAATGGAAAAGGGTTTTGTACATACAACCTGTATGATGATGTATATCTGTTTTGCATGGAAGCTGTTATTAGTGCTTGTTGTTCTTTGGCTTGGGGTACACTTATATAAAGATAAATAATGAAAAATTGAGTTCTATTTATCGCGGCTTCAAAATGTACAAGAAATGAGTGGTATTGTTGCTTTTTTTTTTTTTGAGGTATATGATCATCATAGATAAAGCTTCCAAGTCTCCTCTGTTTGTGATGTTGTGGGGAAGCATTGCTATTGAAGAATAACTACTTAATTAGTAGGTGAAATGAATCAAATTCATGATGGCTTGTTCAAAGCTAAAATGCTTTTGAAATTTTAATAGTTGAGTTTAATATGTACTGGAATTGGCTGGGGAATTTAGTTAGAGAACTTGGATCATTTTCTCTTTAAATTATGTTTTTATGAATTTTATTTTCGATTATAAAATAAGTTTAAAATTATAATGAAAATAGAATTAAATTTTAATTTTTTTTTGTTTGGTGAATTATGATGTGAGAAATTAGGTGAAGTAATTAACTTTTATGAAATTTATTACAAGTAGATTAGAGACTTTTGGCTAAGAAAAAGTCATTGTAAAAGGCTAAGAAGACGATTTTAAAACTTCATTGTAAATAAAAGGGTAAAAAACGTCATTGTTTTTAAAGGGGGCAGAAACGTTTTTAAAAACATCATTGTAAATGATGTTTTGACCCCCTTTATTTTTTTTAACTTTTGTTAACGGCCGTTTAAAAATATATGTTTAAAAGCGTCATTATAAATGACAACTTTAAAAATGTCATTAAAAGTGAAGATTTTAAGAAAAAAATTTTAACTTTAAATCGTCATTTCAATTGACGTTTTAACATTTTGAAATATCATTTCAAATAACATTTTTAAAAAAAAAACTGATTTTGTAAAACAAGTTCAACACTGACTGAATTTTGGAACTAAGATTTGAGGGGCTGGGTTTAGGAAAAAGCTCCTTGGAAGGGTAATGATTTCTCATGGCTGCCATATATTTTAAGATTTTTCATATTTTGTATCTCGAAAGATATTAAAATTCTCCCTTTACACATTAAAAAATTATATTTTTTTATATTACACCCTCATTCAAAATCGATTGCAATATTGCCCTTCAAAATCAACCGATTTCTCTCTTTCTGATAAATCTCGTTGCACATATACACATGTTTTACCATTTAACGGGAAGAGAGACGAGAGTTAGTCTAAGGGGCCATATTGAAACAAATTTAGAACAATGAGGGTACAATATGAAAAAAAAATAATCTTTTAAGATATAAAGTGAGAATTTTAACATCTTTCGAGGTGCAAAACGTGAAAAGCCCTATATCTTGCAGTTCCAAGCAAATTACCATGCCGTAGTGTGGCCAAAGAACAAACTTGATTGCATATGTTAAAAACTTTTTAGAGTATGTGAAAAAAATTCAAGTTTGGCAAATATTGTATCAAACCTTCACCATCAGTTGGTCATTGAAGCCAATCAAAAACACAAATAAAGATTTTGAACTTCTATTGTAACGGTATAAATTGTTCCAAGTCCCAACTATGTCTAGGAAGAAGAAAGAAAGATCGGGACAACGAAGTGATTTTAGCAATTCCAATCGAGTTTCACTAATTGATAGTCTTTAAACGGAAGATAAAACAGATGAGCCACCACTTTTGTCGTCTTAAAATGAAGTACTATCAAACCATGAGATACATAATATTAGGACTAGTTTTTCGTGATCTTGATCATTCAAACTTAAGACACTACATTTACAATTATTGACAAAATTACAAAATCAACGTTCAAACAGTATCATTTAAAAGGATGAATACTCACCCGTAAAGGCAAAAAGTTTTCCCAAAAGTCATTATAATATAATTGATACAACACGGCGGGTTCTAATGTCGTATCACTATTACACTGAATATTCTCTTTGAATTGTGAGCTCCAACGGCATAACATTCATCCTCCTCCCCTCAATCATTCTCTTTCAGCTATATTCCCTTCAAACTTAAAGTGCACAACACCTCTGTAAGTCAAATCAATTATTTGAAGATAACGGGCACTTAAGAACAAACCAGGTAGTATGACTTGGACAAACAATGCACAAATGACAAAACCACTTCTTTTTTCGGGAATAAAACAGGAGAAATTCTACTTTTTCTTAGCAAGATAGCAAAAAAACTTATCAATGGATGATGGATTTTCGAAAAAAAAACTCAAATCTGCAGTAGAAGCAGTATAGGAAAAAGACTACTGAGGCAGTAAAGAAAAGATTTGGAAGGACTGTGAAAGTGCTTAAATTCAAAAAAAAAAAAAAAAAATGAAGCCCCTACTCTGCTGAGTTTTAGCTCTCATAGTTGGAATTCCTTATATAGGGGATGACTACAACCATTGACATCAGGATGCACAGTTTCCGAACGTTAGAACTCGTAGTCTTGGCAGCAGAATAATGATGCTTATTAAGTTTTGAGAGGGATCGTTCCTGAACACTGGAATAGAATCACAGAGGAATGACAGAATATCAACAAAGGTTTTTGAGCAAATGACTGCAACAGATACACATCTTGTTCGACCTGTAAATGTCTCTCATTTTGGCATCACTTCGATTGAGAGATTGTTCGTAGTTTTTCAACTGAAATAATAAATCTTATGCTTGATTGAAAAGTTAGAAGTGCGGAAGAGTGTTCCTATACAATGTGACCAAAATTGAGAACTTCAATATAATGAATGTAAAATGGCTGTTTACAAGAAGAATCACAGAAAGATGTCTAAGTGTGTGTGCTAAAGTAGACTTTATGAAATATTTATATGGACACTTCTTCATTCCTGATTCCAGACCTCCATTATGATGAGGGAGGAGAAGAGCTGTAACCCGAAACCCTTTGCCTTCCAGAAATCCGAATCAACAAATCCAGCACCTCCTTCATGTTTGGTCTACTCTGGGGTGCCTCTGCTGTACACCTTATTCCAATCCGAAGTAATTCACACATCTGCTCTGCCCCCTCTGCTAGCCCAGAAACCAAAAGTGCCACAGGTATTATGGCTCGATTATATCCATATCGTCCATCTCCTATGACCCTTCTGGCCCATTCAACTAGACACTCCTCTCCTCCATCTACAGCTCGCCTCCCAGTTGCTAGCTCCATGGCTAGCACCCCATAGCTGTACACATCACCTTTTGTAGTGGCTTGCCATGTCTGTCCATATTCTGGAGCAACATAACCAACTGTTCCAGCAACCATTGTGCTCACGTGACTACCTCCAGCATCAACAACTCTAGCAAGACCAAAATCTGTAACACGTGCCTTCCCGCTCTTATCAAGAAGGACATTGCTAGCCTTGACATCTCTATGCACAATAGCAGGGAAGCATTCATGGTGTAAGAAGACCAAGGCACGGGCTACATCTACTGCTACATCAATACGCCTCCTCCATGTGAGTCGTGTTCGATCTGAAACCAAATCCTCTAAGCTCCCCCCTTCCATGTACTCGTAAACCAACAATTTCTCTGACCCATCAAGGCACCATCCGTAGAGTGTTACAAGGTTTGGATGTGGCCAACCAAAGCCATTGCCACTTAGAACTTCCATTTCAGCTCGAAACTCTCTTTCCCCCTCTACACCCTCTCTTTGCAGCTTCTTCACTGCTACTTCTCTCCCATCAGGCAATAACCCTCGATATACTGTTCCAGATCCTCCCCTCCCGATAATTCTATCTTCCAAAAAGTTCCCTGTAGCATTCAAGATGTCAGCATGTGTGAATGCTGTTTTGTCCAATCGGATGACTTTAATGGTGTCTGACAACCATGGTGAGGATGCACCTGAGCTTGACGCAAAGTCTTTCAGGCCCTTTGTTTCCTCCAAGAGATATCCTGGTATCTCTACGGGGCTTTTCATCACAAGGCAGACTACGAGTGTCATGGCTCCACATACCAAGAAAGCAAGTAATAGAGCAAAGAAAACCAAAAATGCACCGAGTTTTGGGGGCTTGTCTGATTTCTCTTTCTTGTTTGCCGGCTGATTACCTGTGGTGTTGTCTATGAAAGATGGAAGGCGCAATAGTGGATCACCAAGGAATGACCATTTTTCAAATGTGGACAGCTGCCCTGTTGATGGTATTACGCCAGAGACATACGGATTGTAAGAAATGTTGAACTTGTTCAGATCACCCAAGTTATTCAAGCTAGTAGGGAATGCACCAGAAAAATTGTTATATGACAAATCGAGGTTTTGCAAACACTTTATGGTGCCAATTCCCATTGGCAATTCACCAGAAAACTTGTTGTGGGTAAGGTTTAGGACTACAAGTGGCATTAGTTCAATTCCCGGCGGAAGTGTACCATTGAAGCCATTGATACCCAAGTGGAGCATGCTGAAATTCTTCATCTTTCCAATGTCAGGAGGGACCTCACCTGACATCTGATTACTGCAAAGTTGAACATAACCTGACACCTGAAACGTTCGAATATTTGTGCCGGGGATACACACCGGAAATAGGCCATAGCCTTTGAGTAACCGGTCCCATAGGCTTTTACAACTCTTCCTTGTAAGGATTGTATACACAAAACTAAAAGGAGGGTAATCAGCAGGTATCCACCTCTTCATTGTCAAGCACTCCCCTGAACCGGCAGTCATCTCATTATTCCGATTGAAGAGGAACGTTTGTGTTGCGTTCACGCCAATGTTTGTCAACGTAGGTGGAATTGGCCCGGAAAGTAGGTTGTTTTCAAGATTTAACCACAACAAGCTACTACAATTCCCCAGCTCTGGAGGGATTTCGCCAGTCAACGAATTGTTTGCAAGCATCAACCACAGAAGGGAGTTTAAATTTCCAAAACTGGATGGTATCGACCCGTTTAGCTTGTTGTAGGAGAGATCAAGGGCTTGGAGTCCATGCAAATTTCCATAATCTGAAGGTATATTCCCTGCAAATTGATTGTGGGCAAGAACCAAAAACTTCAAGCTCACCATCTGGGAAATTTCAGCTGGTAGCGGACCAGAGAATTGGTTGTAACTCAAGTCCAGCCGATAAATGTTGGGTAACTTTAGAATTCCAGATGAATGCAACCCCCCGGTATACGAATTGGAATGCAATAAAAGAAATTTCACCTGCGTAAATTGCCCAAAAATTTCTTGTATATCTCCTCCAAAATTGTTGTTGCTTAGATCCAAAATGGTCAAGTTGCTCAAACCCAGCAGGGACTCGGGTATTTTACTTGAAAATTTGTTGCTACCTAAGAGAAGTTCTTGGAGACTCAAAATTGATCCGATGTCTTTTGGAATTGGCCCCGTAAAATTGTTTCCCCACAAATTCAACTCCACCAGTTGCTTACAATTTGAAATCTCCTTTGGAAATTCTCCAAAGAAAGAATTTCCCGACAGGTCCAGACTTTGCAAACTGCAATTCGAAGTGAAAATCCCTGCAGAGACATTCCCATCTAACTTGTTCTCAGAAACAGAGAACTCTTTTAGCCTTCCAAAGCCAAACCATAAATCTCCACTCAAGTTGTTTGAGCTGAGATCGAGATACTGCAAATTCCTGCAATGATCAAAGGAATTTCCAATCACACCAGTGAAATTATTGGTGGAAAGATTTGCAACCACCAAACTGTTGCAAATTTCCGGTAAAGTTGACTGAATTTCGCCACCAATCCTATTGAGGGATAGGTCAAGAACTTCCAAGCTGTTGAATCCAGTCAAGTTGAGCTCGCCATCAATGATGTTGTGTGACAAGTTCAAAAACTTCAGGTTCTGGCACTGGCCTAAATCGCCTGGAATAGCCCCCCCAAGCGTGTTTTTGGAGAGATCAAGGTAGGTGAGTGCGGTCAAGCCAGAGAAGTTTCCGAATATATCTCCAGCTATATCATTGTCGGAAAGGTCTATTCTGGTGACACGGGTGCCATTGACATCGCAGGAAATTCCAGGCCATGCGCATGGAGTTGAGTCCTGTGGATTCCATTCTGAGTAATTTCCACGATTTATAAGATTTTGTTCTTCGAGAAATGATTTCAGTTCGAGCAGTACTAGCTTATCAGTCTCTAGTATTGAATCTCCAGCAGCCACGCTTCCTGTTTTTCACAGCAGATTGAAGTCAACTTAGGACAATCATTCTCAAAAAACTCAAACATATGTACAAAACTGGGGACAATCATCCTCGAAAAACTCAAAACATATTCAACTAGACTAACAAAACCCATTTTTTTACTCGCATGAATATATGAAACATTAACTATAGCAAGAAAATAAATGATTAGACTTCTAATTACTTTCCAATATGGAAGCTAAGACAATTCTGCATAATCCAAGTACAAACATTTTGTGATCATAACCCAGAAAGAACCAGAAGTATAGAAATTGATCAGTACCTGCGATCAGAATCAAGAAAACGAGTAATGCAACTCGATTTGAATGACCCGTTTCACCGTCTGACATGATCTATGTAACCCAATCTCTTCTTTTTTCTACTTCTTCTTCTTCTTCTTCTTCTACCAGAGTAATTAGAGGAGCTTTTGTGATTTCATGGTGGAAACGAATGAGAAAAGGTGACAAAATGTGAATTTAGAAACAGGAAACAGTTGGTGGGTGTTGAATGAGAGAGAATGTGGTTGAATTTAGAGGGCCTGCAGACGGACCAAACCAAACGTAGAACAGATGCACGTATGCCAGAATTTTCTATTCCTTGTGGAGTTTTTATATCAAACTTGTTGATTATTTTAATTTGATGGGTTTGTTTAGTTGTTGATGTCTTGTTGCTAGTAGTATTGTTCTAATGGAGAGGAAAAGAAGATGAGAGAGATTGATGGAGTTGTAAGCTAAGGGGCAGAGAGAGACAGAGAGCCGCCCAAGTTGACCATCTTGCTTTGCTTATGCAAACCGGCAGGGAGGTTTGAATCAGCAGAGAGTCAGAGGATGCTTATGCTTTCATGGCTGTGTTTAGTTGTTGTGCTTCTAGAATTCAATGACTAATTTCGTTTGATTTCTTTTTATTTTCTCCCTCTTCTTCTTCTTTTCAACTTTGATTTTAGTCAATACTCATGCTTAGTTTCTGTAAATGATGATTTTGAAGGGCAAAAGAAAATTTGAACTTTCCTTTTTTCTTTTTCTTCGGGTTGGGGGTGAAGTTGGTGAGGTTTTTATGCCTCTGTTTGAAGATAGAAATTGAAATCTACTCAACCAAAACCCAGCAAAAACACTAAATCTAAACCAACCACCACCACCACCCCGCGCACCCCACTCCCCGCGGGGGGGCCATTTATAGTAAATACTTGGGTTACCACGTTATTATTAATACTTTGGGTCACCATTTAATAATAAACATCTTACTTGAAACGACCTGACGGAGCCATTACTAAAATATGTAGGATTCACTTATTTATTTGTAAATTTATTAATAAATGATAACATTAAGTGATAATGATGACACGATTGCACCGTTACACCCTATTTTTTTTTTCAAATGTGACTATGTTTGCATGTAAATATAGGAAAATATATTCATTATAACAGCGATACTATGTTGCAATGCTAACATAAAATCACTAATTAATAGTATCAAAATAAATGAACAAATAGATCCCACAAAAATTAATAATCAATTTTTCATGTAAGTAAATAACTACTTAAGTGATATTCATCTTACTCACTTAATGTTTTATTATTATTCGGTAATACCACGTCAATATTATTGATATGATATCATTATTGCATTCAACATTCTCTCGTAAATATAGGCATATGAAGGGATCAGATTCTTTGAAACTTAAATTGACGGGTGAATTATATTTTATACCTTGAAAAATCTTAAAGTAAAATTTTATATTCTCAAAAATTAAATTTTTTACATTGCATCTTTAATATATCAAAACTATTATAATATGATCATTTCATTAGTTTTTCGTTAATTTTTTTAATCATTGTCAATGAATTGACTTTTAATGGAAAAAAAAAAAACATAAGTGTTATATTATAATATTTTTAATAGATTGAAAGTAGAATACAAAAAATTTAATCTTTGAAAATATAAATAAAAAATTTAAAATCCTTCATGATATAAAATACGAAAAATCCTAAATTGAATTATATTCGAATTTGATTTATAAACTCTAGTCTAAAAATGTAATGGATTTTTGTGTGTGTGTGTATGATGGGTATTATTAGCAGAAATTCTATATTAAAATTCGTACTGATTTCTATCTGAATAGCTTAGTCAAGTTTGATTTAGTTGATTCTATTTGAATTTGTAGCTTAATTTCAGTATATAATATCTAAATTTTGACATCAATATAATAAAGTATAAATAATTTTAAATTCTCAAAATATTTATATAATAAAATATAAATTATTTCAAATATCCATAAAAAATAATTTTTACGTTTGGCAATCAGATTTATCAATTTATCTCATCCGATGGCCAAGATTAGCTTTTGAAGTTGCCCCTGTTCTTCCGCTTAACTCCCACGTCTCCGGCGGCACAAGGCTGCCGCTTATCTCTCTTTGTCTCCCTGTCTCACAGAGAGCATATCTTCGGTGACACAAGGCAGTTCCAGAACCGGCAACACAAGGAAGGTCCAGTAATTCCTATCAAATCCGGGGGCGATATAAACCACATCCAGCAATCTGGTTAAGGAGAAAATATTGGGTGTAACGGTGCACCCGGACCCGAATTTTCTGGAATATGTTTTCTTTGGTGTATGAGGATTTTTCGATCAAATCCTCTGCCCATTTTTTTGTGAGATCCGAAATTCTTTGTTAGGCATTTTTCAACCCTCTTTAAAGGTTTAAGTGTCAAGAGGGTCAAAGATATAAAAAGTGGTCTAATGAATTAATGAACCCGCAACTATTATAAGAAATTTCCTTTCTCTTTTTTGATTCTTCCTCCACTCACTTCCACGGATCGATTCAATCTCTATATGAAAAACTTTATAGTACCCAAAAAAAAATAATTCGGTACTAATATTATCAATTATTATTTTTTATGATAAAAATATAATTTTGAAAGAAAAAATTATAACTACTTATGAGAAAATCATAATTAATCATCAATTCTCGATATTAATCTTAACCTTCTATGATCAATTACGTCTCTTAAAATTGTAATTTATATTTCAAAAAAATTTTAACATAATTTTAAAAAATTTTAATTTTTGATACGGAACCGTCTTGCCCACTAGTCCTTTTTACATGTACATTTTGTCCATCCCCTTTGATCCAAACGTTTCGTGCACTTGGAGTTGTTCCTTTCAAATGGCGGAACACTATTGAGTATTGACCTTCATAGCAGGCGTGACTGAGGATAATATGACTATCCATTATCGTCGGAAATCAGAATAGGCAATGGTAGCTGTGTAAATCGAGATATTTAGGTTGTGTTTGACGTAATTTTTGAGAAAAAAAAAAGTTTATTTCAAAAATTGGATTTTATAATATAGATTTTTTAAGATGGACTTTTAAAAATTGCTAGTTGTTTGGTCAACATCAATTTTGGGAGTACTTTAAGATTAACAAGTGTGAATAGATGCAGAATAAAAATGAAAAAAATTATGTTCATTTTACAATATTACCCTTACTCATCAAAAAAAATAATAGTACCCTCAACCTTGATTTAACAATGTGAGTTACTCCCAATTTAAATTATTGAATTGAACTGGTTAGGTTTGTTAAATCTAGGCATAATTTGTAAATCTGACGTGAAATTAGAGAATTAGTGTTATAAATTTTATCAAAAAACCCTACTTTGGAAAAGTCTTGACGAGTCAAAATTACCATCTAGGCCAATTTTTATGCCCTTTTCTATTTATTTTGTATAGCTCTTAATTTTATTGGTCTTTGAGTAATTTCAAACTACTTGGCCTTTCTATTTATATTAAAATGTAAACTTTGGGAATTGCTTTAGTAATTCAAATGATATGTTCTAAAAGATTGCTTTTTTTTTTTTTTTGCAATTGCTTTGATATTCTTGAAAGTAATAAAACATTTTTTTTTATTACGAGCAATCCTTCATAGACTTAATCGAGAATTAAGCTATTAAAATTATTAGGTTAGTTGTGAGTTTGGAGGTTGGATATAATCTACTTTCAATTCAACAGTCTCTATATTATGTCCAATTAATATTTTTCTCAAATTACTATGTTAATCGATTTCATTTGATCATGTTTTGAGCATTAATCCTTCAATTATATCTATATGTTTGGTGTTTAATGAAGTTTTTTTTTTCATTGACAACTAGTTAGGTAGACAAGGGTGGTCATGAATTATAATTTTATGAGCAAAGTAGTTGGACACTTTTAACCGAAGAACAAGGTAGTTAACGAAATTTATTCCAATCTGCCGTATTAGATTTTGGTTGTTGATTCACTGATTGCGATAGGTTGGACATTTGGAACAAGATCTTAAGAATCCAAAGTGTGGCCACAATAAGACTGAAAAACAACGAATTGGTTGGTTTTTTTCCCTCCATTTTTCTTCGTCGATCTTTGGTTTTGGTAAAATCGCTTTTTTGTTATTTGAAAACCCTTTCTGGTTTTTTGAAGAAAAAATTACGTTGTCATCTTACTTTAACTACACGATTATCCATCACATTTCAATGGTGACATAGAACAACTCAATCAAAAAAAATTAATTGGGAGATTAAACAAATTAATTGATTTATCCCAAAGTTGATAAACACTCAAAATAAAAATAAAAAGTATAAACAATAACCACATCCCTCTCAACCTCCCCCTCTCCCTCTATTTTTTTTATTATAATAATACAAGGGAGAGAGAGATTTTGAACATCGCACCTTAAGGTAGGGTGTTAATTGAGACAAACTAGTTATGTTCGACTTAGATAAAACTCGGCTCAAAGTCGATTCGTGTTTTAAACGAATTGAGTTTTAACAATTTTTTGAACTCGTTTAGAAAACAAGCCTAAAAAACTTGACTCAAATTCGTGAATCTCAGTTCATTTATATGTAAAATAGTCGAGTTATTCGGGCTCAGGCTCGACTTGAATTTTAAACAAATCGAGTTTGAACAATTTTTTAGGCTCATTTAAAAATACAAACTCGTTAAACTTAAACTCAAACTTATAAAATTCGGCTCGATTAATACACTACATTAAGGTGCACAACTTGAGGACTACGCTCCCCTCGTCGGTAAAACACCAACAATCTTCTCCCCACACCAAGTGGCTGTGGGTGTGCAGTGTATCAGTTCATGGAGTGCTGTTGGAATTTAGTTTTTACTTTATTTATTATTTGTTTTGCTGGGGGTGGGTTTGAGGTTATGTGGGAGAGGTTAAGGGACTATTAATAAATTTACGGCAACTTCGTAGTATTGTACTAAAAAAAGTAATTTAAATTGTTAATTTTAAATTGAATGATATATAATTATTGATTAAAAAAAGAAAAAGAAAAACACAAATAATGCAATTTTATTGATCAAAAAATAGAG